CTATCAGTATTGGCCTGGTTCTAATAATGACTAAGCTTGTTAAGTCAAAGACACAGTCCTTGCTGTCTAGGAAATTGTGTGCAAAAGGCAAATGATCCAATGGTCCTAGAAGAAAACTCTTAACTAGTAGCAGGAGGCAAATTCTTAGGAAGGCAGGGCTCTGATGACTAAAGGGGAGGGTAAATAAGATACTCTTGAGGAAATTCTAGTGGAGATGGACAAACGGGATTAGGGGAGAAGAGAACACGAAAAGAAATCCAAAGCTCTGATTTGAGGAAAGAATTTGAAAATCAGGGGTTCAAGAAAAAGACCACTAAAAATTATAGGGTGAACTCAAGGAAAACAGAGCAGATAAATGAAGCGAGAACCAACTGCAGAATCAGCTGTGATTGGAGAGAGAAGGTTAGCACATGTACCCTTCCACCCCGCTTCTCAGGAGCACGAAAGAAAATTGTAGCTGTGAGGAATGAGTTAGAACTGTCAAAAAAAATTTATGAGATCAGCTACGTGCACTGAAAAATGTAATTCATAATTCTTTCTCCCCTTCAAAGGTGTGAAGACTAAACTTTTCATCAAAATGGATAATAACAATTTTAAAAAATTAAATGCATCAGGCTAGATAGGACAGGAATAGCCAGGGTCTGGGATTAGGGAAACTTCAACTTCCAGTACAGTGGTTCTCAAAGTGTCCTCAGACGAGCAACATCAGGACCACCTGGGAACCTGTCAGCAATGTAAATACCTGGGCCCTACCCCAGAGTTATGGAATCAGAAACTCTGGGTATATGGCCCAGCCACCTGGATTTTCACAAGCCCCCTGGGTGATTCTGATCATCGTTTAAGTTTGAGAACCTCTGTCTAGCACAACGATGGCTCAAGGTCATCGGGGTCAGAACATGCTCTTTCCCACTTGTCCCCAGTATTTTCATGCCACCCCTAAGCTATTACGATTCACTGGCATCTGGAAAACTGACCAATGTCATAGAAGGTAAAAGAGACTAGAAACAGCACGGAGGCAGTTTGGACAAGGCTCACCAGTGTTATGACCCCATAGAGCTTTTCCACTTTCTCCTTGAGTTCCCGGAAGCAAGTGGACAAGCGGGCATGCAGCGGCTTGAGCTGTTCCGTCAGCTTCTCCCCGTGGATGCGGATCCCCTCCGTCAGCAGAGGCATCTGGAAAGAGGGCGTAAAAGGAATGAGATGTGGCTCAGCGAGTGGGATCATTCAGATTTGGAGGGTGGGGAAGGGTGGGTGTGGGGTGCACAGGTAAGCAGGTAGACGCAGCACTATGCCGTGAGGATGCCACTTCTCAGTTTAGGGCTTGGGACTGGATGTGCTTTGGTCAGTGATGTGGAGAAACACCCACGGCAAGGACCCAAGGAGGACCTGAACTGGGGAATGGCAGACGGACAAGGCAGATCTCCTGAGCTCGGGCATTTCTGTGGGCGAGCAACTGACAGTGTTAAGCCTCAGACCGAATTTGGTGATTGCATTTGCTACCATTGCCCAAAGGGAAAAAAAAATGAGGCCAACATCTCTTAGCTGGAAACACAGGCCATGAAACAAATTTCTGGACTGTAATCTTGTATCTAAGAGGGCCCTGTCAACACTGGGCAGTTTAACTGAATGCCATTCCTAAGTAGCTCTGCCAAACAAAGAAATACATTGACAGGCTATGGTTCCATAAGTGTTAAAAAAAGAAAAAGTAACCCTGAAAGTGGGCCTGTAGACATAAGCCCCAGAGAACATCTTGGAGCCCTGCGCTGCGGCTGCCCATGGAGCATAGAGGACAGCTGCCCAGGTGCCCACCTCCAGTGCCACATACCTGCAATGCTATCAGTCGCTTCAGCAGCTCAACCTTCTCCTGGTCTTCAGGGTGCTCCTGCAAGTACTTCTCTGTAAAAAAAGCCTAAAAGCAGAGCACATGCAACGTTAATGAGAACATTAATGAGAACATTTTCTGTGCATTTGGCCCTAAAAGGGATGGGGGGAAAGGCTGGAAAGGTGAAAAATGACTTCTGTTCTGATAAACCAAAAATGTCTAAGTAAAAATTAGAAGATGTTTTGAAAATATTAAATGCTGGCTACCCTTATTATTATCTGTCAGCACCATGATCATCAATAAACATTCAAGGCCCCTCCCCAGCTGAGGCTCTATAATAGGGAAATAAAACCCAAACTGAAATTCCAAACAAAGGCGTTAGACAGGAGGCCATTTTAAAGACAGAATTCATTATGAAAGAGAAACAGAAATTTGCAGCAAACGCTTCTGAGTCCAAAACAGGAGTTATATGTTTTCTCTCCGGTGTTAACCTTCACTTGTCAAAGTGCTTCAAAGACCAGCCTTCAAAGTTCCCCCCACTCTCCTGCTCCCCTACTGTGAAAGCTAAACCCCATTATTATAGGAAACCCAAGAGCTCCGGAAACTACAGGATACAGTTACAAAAGTGATCGGCTCATTCTGTGTGGCAAACAGAGTATGGGCGGAGACTCTTCACCTTCTGGGCAGATGTTATGGGCTGAATTGTGTCCCCCAAAATTCATGGCTTGAAGTCCTAACCACAGGTGCCTCAGAATGTGATTTCACTTGGAAATAGGGCTGTTGCAGGTATAACAGGCTAAGATGAGTTCATACTGGAGTAGGGTGGACCCCTAATCCCATATGACTGGAGTCCTTGTAAAAGGGAAATTTGGAGACAGATACACGTACAGAGGGAAAATGCCACATGAAGAGATGCAGGGAGAAGTCGACCACATATGAGCCAAGGATTGCCAGCAGCCTCCAGAAGCCAGGAGAGGCGTGGCACAGATTCTCCCACCAGCACTTAGATGGAGCCAACCCTCCGAGTCCTTGACTTTGGACTTCTGGCCTCCAGAACCAAGACAATAAATTTCTGTTGTTTTAAGCCATCTAGGTTGGGGAATTCTATTATGGCAGCCCTAGCAAATGAATAAAACAGAGAATATAAAATATATGTACCCCAAGTATAACAAAAAGGAAGCATGACAAGACATTAACAAAGCAGCTCATTCCAGCCAGAATCGTATTTAGAGGGGTCTGTCAATACAAAATGGAAAAGAAGTATTTTCTTAAGTCTTCATTCACTTCTACCTTTCAAATACATGCAGTTTAAATTTTTCAAAGTTAAAAAAATTTTTTTGATACATAATAAAATGCATGAAAAGTTCCCAAAGCATTGGTTGAGTCAGGGAACATCAGAGTAGAATGCCCTGAAATGCATTTTTCTAGCTTCACAACAGAAGGGCTGATGCATTACAGCAAACAGCTCCTGTGTTCTTCTCACCCAGGCCACAGAATAAAGAGTTGGTTTAAAATCGGTCATCTGCAACAAGTGTGGAATGATGGGCATTCCAATTGATTGCAGTAGGTCATGGTGATTAATGAGTTTACCTTTTTCTTATGTTTAGAAATGTACAGTCATACATATTAATTAAAAGTACAAATCAGTATTTTAAGCCTAAGTTATTAAAATTTATTTTTTATATATCTCTGCTTTTTAAAAATTTCAACTAGAAGATGTCACATTGGAAAAAGTTCGTATGGTGTGGGGAGAGATTGGACAGGGGGCATAAAGAATAAGTACGATTTGTAACAATATATATGCTAGTAATATTGATTTGATCAACATTTGTCAACGCTGAACCCCCAAAATTATGTATGATCAATTATGATTCAATAAAAATTTAAAAAAAAATAAAGATAGCATTTTAAGTGGCTATGCAAACAATAAATAAATAAATAAAAAGGAAAAACTTCATGTGAAAATAAATATCACTCACTGGTATCAGCATATATGAGTCTATGGTTTATGGACAATATGTAAAAATTAATACTTGGAAAAAATACATGAAAATAAATACCAGGGAGTGTATATGAAAAAGTACACACTGAAAGCAGAATAGTACTAAAAAAGTACTGTATTTTGAATCCTACTTTTGTATTGACTTCCACTGTAACACTGGAAATTGTTTTTAAAACCTAATATGAGCAAACTAGAGTTTATCTCTGGTGTTCAGACTTTCCCAGCTACAGCACAGAGCGAGACTAAAGGAGCTGGAAGGTTGAAGAAAAAAGGGAAGAAAGAAGATCACCAGGGCAGCCACAGAGCATTGGTGGTACCACCCAGGAAGGACATTAAGTCACACTTTCTGCTCCAAGCAGACAGAAGCAGGGAGGAGACCCAACCCTCATGAAGCCTCTACTACGTGCCTGGCATGGGATGATGTCCTAACATGCAGTGTGTCTCTCCTGATCCTCATCGATCCTGTTAGTACCGTCCTCACTTTCCAGATCCCTGGAGCTCAGAGAGGTGGAGAATGTTGCCCCAGAGCACAGAGTGGCCAGTGGAAAGCCGGACCTGGGTCCCAGGAGTGACCGATTGCAAAGCCCCTGGACATGCCGTGGAAACAGATGCGCCAGCCCACACCACACCACCCCCGCTTCTCATCAGCTCCTTCTTTCCTCTCACTCTGCAGGCTCCCTCACAGGGGAAGTGTAACGTAGACTAAAGTGCTGTCAAATGTTCATTCAAGAAGAGGACTCCACAGATACGTAGCCACTGAAAATGCACCTAACAATCAAAAATCCTGCCTCCATTCACTGTAATTAACATATACTGAGCACATTACCTCCAGTTTAAATGGTACTGCACCCTAACCCCACCCAAAAATGAATTAAATTGTGGTGAGTGCCCTCTCAGGTGTTTTCAGCATAACAGATATAACACTTAGTTGAACTAATTTAATTGCACAGCCCGGCCCACCATCTGTCTATATCACCTATGGCACACCAAGTTGGGGTGGGTGTTCCTAGAAGCTAGTTCTAAGCAGAGTGTGGGCTCTGCCTTCCCCAGAGATGCAGCTTCACTTCCGGAGCATCCTGGAGTCTGGGGTCCACCTGTTAGCCTTCTATCTCCCAGGAGAGAGATGAGCAGGTGAACCGACCAGATGTATATTGGGCTCTTTTGGAGATGCTTTACCAGGCAGTGGTCTACCCTTGGCTGGGTTGCAGATGGGCTCTAAGAGGTGTGAGATCAGGGACAATCCTTTCATTCATTTCATTTGCTCATTCATCCAGAGGGGACAGTGAAAATCTCCCCAAGAAGTTTTAGAAAACGAATTCACCAGCTGCACAGTGGCATGGAGGGAGGCAGGGATACATCCCAGGCCTGTGAATCCTGTGGGGTCCTGGGACCCAGCCCACCTTTTCATAGTTGGAGTATCCCCCCATGACAGCTGGGTCCACAATGCCATTCAGCAGCATGGAGAGTGGATGCACAGAGAGGGATCGGTCCCAGGCGTGCTGCTGAACACAGTTGCTGATCCTCTCGTTGGTCAGTTCCATGGTTTCGATGGCATTCTCCAAGGGGCTGATTTCCTCCTGAGAGACAGAGTGCATGGCGGGAGAAGGACACTGTGAGCCCTGCAGCAAAGACTAGAAAAAGTGTAAGGAATCCCCTCAAGAGGCATAAATGCCCACAAGCTATAGAATAGTGAGGTTTGCCTGTCGAGGTTATATATATATTAGGATACCACACTTTTCTGAAATGGTGTTGGTCACTAAGATGCAAAATTAGCTATTTAATCTCCTTACAAAGAAGAAT